TTCAGCCTCTTCCCTTTAGTGAGGGATGCTCGTTAGTGGGTGGTTAATTCAGATTCCCCGAGCTCATGGCACACTCTTCTATAGCATTGCTGCCAAACCCACTTTAATGACTCAGCAGGAGCTTGTCATTAACAACATTCTTGTAGAAAGTAAAAATTAAGCAGGCTGGGAAAGCAGTGCTAGTGCACTGCGTATGTGTAAATCTTTCGTAGCAATAAATGCTACTGGTTGGTAGCCTTGTCTGACACAACCCGTCTTTGGAATCACTAACAAGTTAAAATTCTCAAAAGGAGTTTAAAGTAATGTCTTCAGTGAAAAGGACCCTTCGGTGTTATTGAAAGGAAAATCTGTTTTCAAATCTTATATTTGTTTACCTAATATATGATATAAAACATTTGATTAAAGGAAAAGGCAAATGGAATTTAAAGTAACAGCTTTACTACTGATATTTTTATGATAAAACCTGGGTCAGAGAATATGGCTTTAAATAAGTAGCTTGCCAACCCTGTTCTCCAAAATTAAGCTGATCTCCCCATCCCTCCAACCATCCCCCACCCACCAACTCCCCATTTAACAGTCCCCAAGCCACCAGAGGGGTGAAAACCACAGGACTCTTACAGTGGCAGAGTGTGCCCTAATAGACCCTAACAAAGGGGAAATCAGGCCAGAATGCAACCCCTTGCAGTCAGGTAAACCCCAAAAGGAGAAAAGATAAATTGGGCTAAGCATGTCTAGTTCCTCTCCCCAAACTCACCCCTCAGATGTGTCATTTCTTTTTCCTTAATGCAAGGAGAATGAGGAATGGGGAGACACCAGGAATGTGGCTCATATTAATGAGATGGACAATAAGAGAGTGCAGGGATGGGTTAGATGTTGCTCTAATAGGAAAATACCTGTTGGGTAAAATTATTGATTGAGGGAAGCAAAGTGGATGATGTTCATTTGAATAATGGCTACGTTAGGTGTATCTAGAACTCATTGATTTTTATCTCTTTTACTACTAAAGACCTCAAAAAGATACATCTGAAGGATTTTATATTGGAAAAACAAATGTCTGGTCCAGAAGGAAGAAGGAAAGGACAAGGAAAAGGCTAGACCTATATTTGGAGGAAAAGGGAAGGGACTATAAGGGAGTAGAAATAATATCTTTCCTCACCCATCACAAGGTTCATTGAGGCATCTAAAATAGAAGACAGATTAACAAGAGAAAAGCACACAAGTGTATTTAATATAAATTTTAAATGACATGAAAGCCTTCAGAACATCACTATGTACCAAATAGCTGGTTTGGACCGAGTGCTTTGCATTCATAGATGAACTGTCAATAAAATGTCAAAGCAGGCTTTGAGGAATTTGGGATTATAGTGTAATGCGAACAGCACAAATTCTTACTGTCTTTGTGACCGTGGGACAAGTTACTTAATTTCTATTGATTTTATTTTGTACATCTGTAAAACTGAGATAATCAGCACCTGGAAAACAGAGTATTTTGAAGATGGAATGAGACATAAAGCAGCTTATGTGCTATTTGGCACATAAGTACTTTATTTTTATGGAGCCTGTATGAATCTCAATACATAAATTCAGATGTGTAAGAAATATAAAAATCATTTATTGTCTTCAAATCAACATTATGAGGATCGTGAGCCCCATCCTATTTGGTTTGCAGAATGCTTAACCCTAGATATTCTTGGAGCTCCTACCTTCATCACCAGGAGGATGCAGAGGGCCCTGGGAGGCTTTCTTGATCAGCAGTTATCTGATCACCCTAGTTACTGCAGAGATACCCTTTATCTCTGTCCAAGTGGTTCCTCCAAGTGCAGCAGTCAGGTATGGCTTACATGAGCCTGTGTCAGGGGTCTAACTTCCCTCTGTGCCTCACCCAGACAAGCCTCCCTGAGCACTGCCAGAGAGCGGATGCAGGTGTTCTGCCTTGCAGATCCAGAGGTTTCTCTCCCTGGGCCCAGAGCAATCTCTCTCTCTCTCTCTCTCTTCCCTTTTGTCCTAACCAAACAACTATGATTCCACTAGGAATCATATAGTACTACCAATATTTTACCTTTTATGGCCTATAAGAATGGCTATTTTAAGTAGTTCAACCTAATAACTATTCAACAGATTTAGCTTTTATTTCTTCATGTTTAAGTCTAGGAGGGCAACTGACTTCAGTCTATTCGTGCTTTTCAAACAGCAGAAACCCCTGAAGTAAGTAAATAGAAATAAACTAATTTAGTCTATGGCAAAGGAAAATAGAAACAAAAATAAAAATATAAAACTTTATTGAAGTATCTTGACACATTTCTATAGTAGTAGAAATACTAATACTCAATATTTTTTTATTTTTTTATTTTGTTATTTCAGCATATTATGGGGGTACAGATTTTAAGGTTTCAATAAATGCCCATTTCCCCCCCATCCCCCCAAAAGTCTGAGTCTCCATCATAATACTCAATATTTTTATTCTAACCATTCCTCCTATCCATCCCCTCTTCCCCACCTGCATTACCACTGCACAATTCACAGACTTTAAAGACTTAGCTGAGACATGATCTTCTCTGTGTTCCCTGAAAAAAATGTGAAGCGTCATCCTCTGAATTTCCATAGTGCCTTAAGTATCATAATAAGCAAAAGTATTTGTTGAATTAAAGATAATTACAACTCATATCTTGCCTTTTATATTTTAAATATCTTCAATAAATGTAAGCTTGACTATTTTCAAATGAATACATTTCTTTATTCTTGGTCATTTAGAAAGTCATCCATTTTATATTTTCTCTTGATAATTTCATTTCTGTGATTTTATTTTCATGATCTAGGTGATCAAATAATTTATCATCCAAACTGGGACATTATTAAGAGTGAAAGAGGCTACTGCTCCTAATTACTCCAGGACAACAGATGTAAACCAGGACTGCCCCAGGAAAACCAGGATGCATGGTCACTCTATTCATCCTTACATTGCTGTGATGATTACTTGTCTGTCATCCCCTCCCCCAACAAACATACATACACACATATACCTAGTCAAAATCCCTGGAAGGCAAAGGCCTCAGCATCTGGTGCAATGACTGACATATAGTAAGCAGTCCATTAATCAGTTGATTGATCAACTGATTATATCATGGGAAATTTATTGGAGGAGAACTTTCTAGTTTGATGAAATGCCATAGACAAAGAAAAGGAGACGGGAGGGTAACTCAACAAGGAACAGCAAATAAACTCTTCTGGGTAAAACAGATGTTTGGGGATTGGTACATAATTTGGGAAAAGATTGTGGAAACTCTTGATTACCAATCAGGCTAAGGAACTTTTAACAAAGTGGAGGAACAGGGGAAGGTTTAAACACAGGTATGACATGAAAGATAACTGATAATTGCATACAAGATGAATTGGAAGGAGGCAAAGGAAGAAAGAACTACAGAGACTATTTGGATTAAAAATGGAAATTATGAATGCCTGGATTAAGAATATTTGCCATATAACATTCCTTTTATGCTTGATGGAAAAGTCAAGACCTTTAGATCATAAGTGAAGAAATACGAATTAGCCTGGTTTAACCCAAAAGGGAAATTTATGAGACCAGCTGATATAAATATGCATGCATTGATGGATCCAGGTTCTCAGTGTCATCCATCAGGAATCTTCTCTTCATCTCTGGATTCTGCTTCTTACTGTATCTTATTCATTCTTATTCAGGTTCTCTCCAAAATGGCCCTCAGCAATTTTCAACCTAGTCCCTACCAGCTTAGTAACCCCAGTGGAAAGGGAACACTGCTTTACCAATAATTCTAGCAAAATTCCCGAGGAAGGTTCTCATTGGTTACCTGCCCACTCCTGAACTAATCACTGTCGATGGGAGGTGGCATGCTCTGATTGGCCAGGCCTTGGTCATCTGCCTACCCTAGATGATGGAGTCAGCTTTACTCAACCCAAATAAACTAAATGTGTATGTTGAGGGGGACAAGGCATACAGTTAGGAGCAAAGATAGCTTGCTAAAGGAACACTAACTTGTTTAAAAAAGAAAGACAATGGATAGTAACAAGCAAACCCAATAAATGTTTTCTGCATAAAGTCTATGGTGCTATTTCTTAGTTTGCAGATAACAGTGAGCTCTTCTAGATGATGAAAATAAAATCATAGAAATGAAATTATCAAGAGGAAACATAAAATTGATGAGCTTCTAAATGAGCAAGAAGAAATGGATTCATTTGAAAATATTCTAGATTACATTTATTGAAGATGATTAAAATATGAAAGGCAAGATATGAGTTGGTATTATCTTTAATTCAATAAATAATTTTGCTTATTATAATGCTAGATATATCATGCTTATTATGCAAAGAGAAGTTATTATTTCACCTTTCCAACCAATCAATAAATGAACTAGTACAGACACCTCTAATTACTGATCTTTGAGGAAGCCATAATGGAGTCAGAAGAGGGTTGAAAGGGCAACTGAAATGGCCCCATTTTTGTGGAATTCCTTATATGATTTTATAATAGGAGGAACCAATGATAAACCTTTTCATTCTGAAATGAGAGTCTATGGTTTTAAGAAACATTCATTAATTTATATTTATAGTATTGATAGCATAATTCTGAGAACACTATAAGTGTGAATTTTCCTATGGCATAATTTTAGTTTTCTTGGTTGTCTGGATTTTTTTTTACAATTTTTAGAATGAATGTATATTATTTTTAAATGTGAAAAGAAAAACAGTTTCCTTAAGAGAAAGAAGAATTCTGGCATATAGGGAAACCAGCATTGCCCTTTAAAGTGATGTCATTGTGGTCCTTTCTTTTTTTCCCCGATAAATATTCACAGGTATCTCAGAAACAATATTGAGTTAGATGCACCATCAATCTGAAAGAATGTGGTATTACTTTTATTATGCAAATATTAATCAGATACACTTTCACAATGTTATGCTAGGGTAAGTGATAAGAATTTAATCACATTCACTGATACCTACCTTACTAAATCTTGATTCTTTTCAAGAACATACTCTTCAAGAACAAGTTTCTGATACAGAAAATAATCTGAAAAAGGAATCCAGCTTGATGGAAGCCATCTTTAAAGTACTGTCCCATTGCAATTTTTCTCCACAAACATTTGGAAATATTTTTGTGAGCTACATGGAAGAAGAACAACTATGGGACTTTTTATATAACATTCCAGGTATGAGAAAGTTACTATTTGTAAAAGATGTATTTTTATAGATGCTTAAATATGCCTTTAAAGATATTATAGAAGTTTTATTGCTATCAGTTTTGCTGAATTTGTTGTTTGTAAAAGTTTACCTGACATTCTTTCAGTATAAAGGCTTCTGAAGGGAACTACCCGAGGTATTAGTTCCTGTCAAATTCGATATGCTTTGGGACAGGTTGGGAGGAGGTTGGGGAGAAAGGATTTTCTTTTTTAAAAAAATTAATTATTAGGGAATGTTCTATCATAAAAATTTAATATTTAGCACAGATTATGTTTTGCTAGTTAGCATATAAGACATTGGCAAAATGTGAAAAAGATTTTGCTATACTTGGGTGCATTTATTCAACAAGCAGATGGATAAAACTATTGGTTGATTTTCTTCAAATATATAAGGCATTTATTGTTATGGTCATAGTGCTCTCTGTATAAGGCAATCATGTCCTGTGATTCTTTGGGGGCTAATAGGTTTTCCCCATCTGTATTGTTCCTCTGCCTTCAGCTACAGAGGATGTTAAAGACAGTGCAGGTTGTATATTTAATTTGAACAGGAGGTTTTGATGGATTGTACCATCATCAGGCCAGTGTAAATTCTCACATTGTTTTATCCTTTATATCCTTCTTTTACATCTCCAAATTTAATGTCTTAGGAAAACAAAGGATGAGAACTTAGACAATAATTAGTATCGTTATCCTATTTTTCCATTAGTCATTTACATCATTTACATTTAGCTTTCAACTTATAAGCTTTCTTATACAGTGCTGTGGGACCAGCATTTTCATAAAATATTTCCTAGGCTCCGTAGAAAAGATCTATCTGGCTCAAAAATCATGGTTTCTTTCCTACTGGGCCTTTTGACTATCCCCTAGATATTATTTGAATATCAATTTAGCTATTTTAAAGTCATTATGTTTCATCTTCTCTTGGCCATTATCCCTGCAAAATAGCAATCGATAACTTTATGTAATGATTTTGCAAATCTAAATCTATCACTTAAAGTTTCTGTAATAATTATCTTCATTTAAAATGTTATCTCCTAGTTTCCATGCATTCCCTCATTGCTCCCTGTTTTCCCAAAGGAGTGACAGATTTATAGATAAAAAGACTGAATTAGAAGCTGCTTGTGCTTCTGATATAGTCTTTATTGAATTGAAAGAGAAACAACTTTGAAAGCCCCGCCACCCTCTGCTATTTGAAGTTGTTTCTAGGGGAGAAAAAGCAGTATTCTCTCACTAGATTGTACAGAATCAGTGACACTCATGGTCCAACTACTATTTATCCTTCAATGCTTAAGTTCTTGAACCATGCAGCACAAAACTGTACTGAAAATAACCTAGAAGATTTCAATGGGCTGCTGGCAAGAGAAAGTAGAACTGTTGTTTGCTCCTAATTTGTTCTCTCTTCATCTATACCTGGAGCAAACCCTTCTTCACAAGGTCAAATGAGTCTCTAGAAACAGGTATTACACATATTCATAGAGCCCAAATTATGTGGGAAGCTCAAAGGGGCAGAACTTCAAATGAGTGAAACATCCTTGGTCTTTGTATTAGTGGTATCTCCATAAACATTGACAGATATTATCTGGATCTCAAATATTCTCTGGAACCTGAGACTTGCAGTGATCATAAGGGTCTTTACTTTTCTCTTTTATCTTCCATTTAGGTCTTTCCCAAAGTTTTTTTTTTTCTTCTGTTAGCAATCATAGTTATTTTAAAAGCCCTGATAAGAAAATACAATGTATTAATTCATAACAAATGACTTTTATTTAACTTGAAAATATAATATGCTTAAAAGAAATATAGCTGAGACACATAATCATAAGCCCACAATATTTGCATTTTACCACTAATAGGCCTATGCTTCAGTAAATATGATTAGCCTATCCCAGATCAAGTGGAGTACATTATTTATAAACCTCACTGGTGTAGTTTCCTTCTGCTGAATTACTGTTAACGATCTCAGCATATAGTTTACCCATAAAATATCATCATCTTATCATTTTAGATAGAAGAGCAAAGATGAAGTAGTCAGTATCCTCATCTTATTGCTGAGTAAACCAAGGTTGCAGATGTTAAGAGACTTGCCTAAGATTGTCCAGCAATTAAGTTGGACACAGAATAAGAAATCAGATCTCTTGACTCATGGACTATGTTATTTCTCTTTATTCATTTATTTTTTCTATTAGACTAAATTTTTTGAGAAAACTTAGTTTTGTTGTGGGAAAGCAAGAATGAAAATTCTCATCAAAAAAGATCGCTACCTAAGGTGGGCATTTCAAAAGCCCTCTATATAAATGTACTCTATAAGAAATAGACTTGGTAATGATCATTGCAGACCCATGTCTTCAAAGTAGATCAAACACTCTTCAGTTGGATAAATGAAAATATCAAAGCATAAATTACCTCAGCTGGTCTTAAAGACAATGCCAAAACAGGCTTATAAATGAGGAAAGTATTCTCAAAAATGCCCTGTTTAATATTATATTAATAGTAATATACCCAGCAAGTATTATTTACTTGGCTTCTCAATAGGGCATTGGGCTTACTTTTGTTTTCTGAATCAGTTTTATTAACTCTCACTGCCTTTGGGAAGAGAGTTTTCATTGACTTAGCACAATTTCCCAATTAAATGTTGAGATCCAGTGTTTCCACTTTGGTTCTCTACTCATCTTCCTCAGCCCCATAAAGGGCTTTAAGGAAGAGCTCTTGAGAATGCATATACGTGCTGTATTATTTTATTGTTTCTAAAATCAGTTTATAGCGATTTACCTTCATATCAGGCACAGTGATTTTTCTCTATAATCTACATAAATATCTGCAAAATAACATGGGTACATTTTAAATGTAAGCTTTAAAAAGTTGGAAGACTGTGTTCTACACTGTAGCCATTTCCAAGCTTTTTATAATGTTAGCTTGGTGCAAAAGTAATTGCGGTTCTGGACTATGAATTTTAAATCATTATAACTAGGCTCAAACATATCTTTATTAATCAAAACAGGAACCATTACAATCAACACATTTTTGCCAATGAGAAATAAATTTGTTTATTTCTGTAGCATAAAAATCTGTGCTTTGAAAGAATGTATTTCAATATTAAATGTCAAATTTCAACAATGCTAAAATCATAATTACTTTTGTACCAACCTAATATTTAGTCATCCATCTAGTCCCTTTATTTGTAAACCACTTAAAAAAACTTTTTAAAAAATTTATTGAGGTATAATTTACATACAAAATCCACTATTTGAAGTGAAGAGTTCAATATGTTTGAGCAACATATAAAGCTATATGACAATCATCTGAATAAAGATGTAAAACATTTCCATCATATCCAAAGTTTCTTTTTGCTCCTTTGCAGTCAATTCTCCTATCTCTCCACATCTACACTCATATTTGTTCTCTTGGGACTTTTTTGATAAAAGCCATTTTCACTGAAAATAAGTGCTATCTCATTGTGGTTTTGATTTGCATTTCCCTGGTGATTAGAGATGTTGAGCATTTTTTTCATGTTTTTTGGCCATTAGTCTATTTTCTTTTGAAAAGTTTCTGTTCATGTCTTTTGTCCACTTTTAATGGAGTTGTTTGATTTTTCCTTGCTGATTTGATTGAGTTCTCTATAGATTCTAGTTATCAGCCCTTTATTGGATGTGTAGCATGCAAATATTTTCTCCCATTCTGTAGGTTGTCTATTTGCTCTAGTGATTGTTTTCCTGGCAGTGCAGAAGCTTTTTAACAGACATAGACCAATGGATCAGAACAGAGAAGCCAGATATAAAACCATCCTCATATTGCCATCTGATCTTTGACAAAGCAGACAAAAACATACACTGGGGAAAATAATCCCTATTCAGTAAATGGTGATGAGAAAATTGGATAGCCATAAGACTGAAACAGGATCTACACCTCTCATCTCTCACAAAAATCAACTCACCATGGATAGCATATTTAAACCTAAGGCATAAAATCATAAGAATTCTAGAAGAATTTTTTTACTTTTGACTACCCAGTTACTTATAATTTATCGGAAAACCTTATTTCCATTGGCTTCTGATTAGTCAATATATTAATAGAACAGTTATTTAAACCAATCCTTTTTTACTTAGAAACACATTCATATGTAATTTCCATTGCTTTTATAAAGCCCAATTAGGTTATTCTTTATTGCATATAATAGCTTTCTTAAAAGGTAGCCTGAAAAACTCCCACCAAATTGTCTTTGTTCAATTCTTCTAAATTAAAAAAAATTAAAAATAAAAGTGATGAATTTTTTTAAGTCCTGCCACAACTGTTATCAAACTTCAAAAGATTATGCTGGTAAAAAGGACAAACAATTAGTATCTTAACCAAGATGCAAACATATATAAACTTGTTTATATCATTCTTATAATTTCTGCTAGACGCCTAAAGCTCATTCTTGACTTAGGACCATCATTCACCCTTTTTCTAAGGGCTCCTGGTTATTGTGTTATAAAAGAAAGGTGTAGAATTGACTTTGTATGAACTTGGTTGTGAAATAACAGTTGTTTTCATCTTAGAAGTCTTAAATAGAGTCATGGAAGGTAAAAATTAAGCAAGACCATAAATACCATCTTGTCCAGTCCGCTTTGTCTTCTCCACTTACCATTTTGTAAATGAGAACACTAGGACCCCTCTTAGATCAAAGGTTCCTTTATGCTCTTTCTTTCCATTGTAGTTAATTTAATATGTAAAACTGAAATAAGTTGTATATGACAGAAAAATTAATGATAAAAATTGCTAATCATTTTAGATGATCCTTTCTCTTGCTTCTCTCCTTTCTGCTGATAATCAAGAATTACTATTTTGGGCTTATAGCAGCTAGACTTTAGGGGTACCATTGTACCATTGTATTTTTTCTATGCTATGTATTTTAGCAATCTGGGGACCCACTCTAAATATTTGGCTGATAAAAGAAACTCTTGTTAAGATTCTAATACTGTACTGCTTGGCCATTTGTACCTTCACTCACTTTCTTTTCTTTATTTCCTCTTCTTCCCCTTTCTCATTTTCTTCCTTCTCTGTGTGTCTCTTATCCATGCCACAGACCTCTGTGGATATCGCTTAATCCTTCCTACAGTACCTAGTGCTCAAGATATTTTAGGCTCTTGCATCAAATGAACATTAGCCAACACTACACTGTAACATTGTAATTTTTCTAAAAAACTGTTACCTTAGGTAATAATAACAGCTAATACTTACATAGTGTCTACTATTTACCAGTTACTGTTACAAATACTTTACATAAATTAATTCATTTAATTCTTAAATAACTCATTGCGGTAGATCCATTATTTTCTCTATCATTTCAATGTCTTGATTTTATTTTAAAAGGAATAAACATGCCATTTTAAACAGAAGGAAATAGAGGATTATCTGGCTTCTTAGAATTTTCAGGTAACTGAGATATATTTAATCCATAGCTCCAGAGTTCAGCCAAAAATGCATATTAAGTATTGATACAAGAAAAAGGCTTTTTTGTGCCTTTCAAGAAATTCAAGTTTTAAAACATCATCATAAAAACAGACAACCATATGCTCCACTATTCCCATAAAGAGCAACAATTTGCCTAATTGATGATGGTACTGTGTTAAAAAATAAAACTTTTAATATTTTATATCACCAAGATCTTCTTTATCAGGGCCATTTTAATAGTAAATCATTGTTAGAGGAATGAGTCATTTGAGAAATATCACTTGGGAATTTGATGAGGGAAAAAGCACATAGGTGTTTTTCTATATTGATTCAAGTGATGGTCCCAGAACTTTCTTGTCATATTAAAAAAACAATAAAACCCGTTTTTTTTTTTTTGCATTTCTCACATACATAATAATACATATTCATTGTAGGTAATACATAGAATCAGAAAGATAACAGTGAGGCAGGACAGCAGGAGGGAGGAAAAGAAGTTTAAAAAAAGAAGAAGAAAAAGAGGGAAGAAAGCAAAAAGAAGGAAAGAAAGAAAAAAATTACCCAACGTCCCATCAGTCATTGATAATCACGGTTGACATCCTAGAATACATCTTTTAATTATTTTATATGTGTGTGTAGATATGTATTTTCTAATAAAAGTAATGTGTCATACTCTTTTCTAACTTTTTTTTAATTGTATAATATATGGCTTTTTTGTATAGAGAGATATACCAGAGCTAATTAAACATGTCACCCACCTATTATTAGACATTTAGATTATTTCTAATTTTTCCTTATATCTCTTGCATATTCATAATTTTTTTAGAATTAAATCCTACAGAAAGAAATGAGTCAACAGATAAGTAAAATGCTTAAGCTTTTGATATTGTGAAGTTGTCACCTAAGAAGTTCACACAATTCATGTTCCCACCAGCAGAGTCCCAAACTACCAGTAAATACTGTTATTTACTGTTATTTTAATTGCCATTCTTTGTATTACCAATAAGAAAAAGAAACATATTTTTCCCCAAATGTTTTACGGGCTGATTATCAATTATATGATTTCTTGGTTAAAAGCAGCTCTCCTTTCCTGTAGCTTTAAACTAGATTATTGTAAAACTGAATTCCCAGTTGAACAAGGCACAGATGATTGCCACATTTTGCTAACCATAAGATGCCATCTGATTTTAAAGTCTCAAGGTGCGTGGGGTCTGAGCCCGAGTTCATACGATGCTTGCGGTTGGCACTGACGGACGCCGTCAAGGACACTGTACAGCAGATAGTATCTGTGATGAGCTCTGGGAGAACCTGGGAGACAAACCTAAGCAAGCACAGTGTTCCCGATTGTTTGCTTGAGAGCATTCCAAAAGAATGGAATTATATTCCAAAAGAAACCAAAAGGAAAGAATCAAGCAAAAGTAAGTATACTTATTTTTCTTTAGGAAAACACCCCAGAAGAGACATTTTTCTGGGCTATACTGTCAAGTAAAATCCTAAAAACCATAAGATTGATGAACCATATTAATCTTCCTTCCACCAAGTATATTTTAGGACCCTTAATATTTTTTACTATGAGCCACATGATCAAGGAAACTAAAAATGAAAATTACTTAAATGGTCATCTTTATGTAACCACCAGTTTAGAATTTTCTGTAGTATTCTGTGTTCATGTTAGTATTCACAGATTAGTCACATGATTTTGACTGATTTCTTTTAAACCTATCAAGTAACCTAAAATTCATACTCTCAAGAAGATTGCTCTGATATTCTGTTTAATTATTCTTTAAGTTTTTCCCCTGCAACCACCAATTATTACTTTCTTTTCTCTTGTTAAAACACCTATTTGTGTAGCTCTTAAGTCAAAAATAGCACCCAGTTTGGTAACTACATGTATTTTTCTGACAGGGTAATGTTTCCTCAATGCCTAGGGTTGTGAATTGCGTGCATTGTTCCTATTCAGGGCAATGTGTCTACTAAGTGTATTTAAGAACCATCAGTTACCTACATTATTCATTTATTTTATTAATCAAGTCCTCTCTTCTTAGTTTCTTCCTACCTGGATGTTTTCACTTTTCCTTTGAATATATATTACCTATCTGCATTCATAAATCTTCTTTTGGTTTTTTAAAATAAGATTTTCCCTTTCATATTCATCCTTACGGAAGAATATTTTTTTCACTAACTCTAAGGAAACTTTCAACACTAAAGTACTCCTGCTGAACTCACTAAAGTCAATGAAGGGACTAGCCTTTCTTTCATTCTTCTCCGAGGAGATCCTAAATAATGTGGCTCTTATCCAGCGACCTTATATTACAAACTCAAATCAATTATCTATCTGTGACCTTTCATAGTAATGCTTTAATTCTGTCCAAGCCCTATTAAACTCCCTTTGAATCTAGTAGAGCCATTTAATTGAAATTGGAAAATGTCACCTTTTCATTACTTAAGTTCTTCCTTGTCTAAGAGTTGTTGCCATCTCTCCTTTGTTCTAGCTTTTGGATATTTCATATATTTTGAGAAATTCAGGAGGCATGGTCTATAGTTAACATATCATGCCATGTACCAGTAATACTGTGTTACTTGTGGCTTTCATGTCATTCTATTCATAAGTGGTTTTGCTTTCTACAAGCATTTTGGAATTCCTCCATACCATTTCAAAGAGCCACTGGCTCCAGAGAATGCATACTGTACAGATACCTTTTTAGGGTTTTCCTTACTAAATAATATTTTTCATAAAATTCACACTAAGAGAAGTACAACATACAGCCAGCCGTGAAGTGGTGTCAGGTCACCTGAATATATTTTTTAAAAAGACTTTCAACATATTCTTGTAAATCAACAAATCAACTACAGTTTAAATGTAATACTGAGAATACAATGAAGAAGAAACAATGACAAAGTGAAAAGGCTCACACTAATTCCTATTCTTAATATGTAATCTTTCTCAATCATATTATAAGATAAAACAATGAAGACCTGACCAGATTTAGTTAAAAAAAATGTGTGGGAAAAACATTTGAAATATGGCTCCCCATTCATGTTGTTAAGTGTGAATCCCTCCTAAGTGAGTATTATGCTTTGAGATATTAGCTAAAAATAATTTAAAGTCATCTTGATTAGCAAAAGATATCAAAATGAAGCATCCAAAACATGAAGACAAACGTCTATAATTTTTCCAACAATGTTTTAAGTCAAGTGATACATAATCATGTTCTTTGAAAAATTTGTCTAACCCATGATAAATGTTTAAAGGCCTTTTTTTAAAGGAAAATTCTAATTTATTAAAAATAGTCACTACCGCAGGGAATATTTGTCCTTTCTGACATAGTAAAAATGACAGAACATGGAAGACACTGGGCATCAAACTAAAATGCATTTCTTTATTTCTTTGTCAGCAAAAACATAAAAACATTGCAGATTTAAAGAAATAAATATTAGAAGAAATTATACAGTACAGAAGAGTCACCCTACAGTTGCATAAAAGTTCAGATGATGCTGACATAGCTCGCTCAGATTTTAGGTATTTGCTTCATTATATTTCAAAGAGCAAATACACAAAGAATTAGTTATTTTATTTTGGTTTGTTTCTTTGACAACAATTAAATGAAAGATATACGTGAGAAGATATTTTCTCAACAGTGAAGTGCTTTTTAATGAATAGAGCTGCTTTATGGGAAAACTGTTGGAATAATTGTTTTAATGGAAACAGTGGATTCTGGAGAGAGGAAACAGAGGTAGTACTGTAAGGAAACTATCCATGTCGTTGTTCACATGCAGATTGTTGAGAAAGAAATTGATGGCAGAAATACACAAAGTGCTTTCAGAACTCATTAATATAGTTAACTTTATAAAAACAAAGATATTAATTTTTTATAAACCAGTGTCACCTATAAAAATGTTGTATCTGTACACTTAAGAACTTAGAAATAGAATTTTCTAATATGATTTAAACTATTCCAAATGAATTTAAAATATTCCAAATAATATTCAGTTATTCTTGGACCCTTTTCTTAAAAATATGAAAATAAAATATTTTTGAATTTGTTTACACAAACAACTAATTGATATCATGGATGATGGATGTTTATTAGTAAAATTTCAACAACAGTCTTTGCCTATTTGGCAGTTAAGACTGAAAAATAAATGCTGTGATTTTGTAAGCACAGCTGACGACATGCTTGTTCCATGTGGATCTATGTGTGTTTGTATAGTGGCTCTTTCACCTGTGACAGCCATTAAAATCTGGAATTGAAACAAACTGAACTTAGAACCTGACCTTTGTATTGTGAAGGGTTAAGCCCGTTTATTATATTTTTAAAATATCAAAGCATATTAAGTCACAGGATCCTCATTCAACAAACTGTTATTCCTATTTTGTACCATTAATAAAATATTTAAAATTAATTTTAAGATGTTACCTTTTTACCTCATTTATTATAAATTTCCTTTTTTACATTTTACAAACCACAAATGTTATTATAGTAGTGCATCTATAGAAAGGAAGACATGATAAATACATAAATATACATATCATATTGCATTCATCCTAAGACATAATTTTTTTCACACTTCGGCTCTGAAACTGGGATGGCTCTTACAAGACATTATTAGTACATAAATATAGCTTAGAAGTCATTGTATTTAAACAAAGACAGAAAAATTAGTGTATGGCAGTCTTAAAAGATCCTTCCCTAGTGTATTGTTAACATCACCATAGATTCAGAGCCCTTGTGATTAGGAGAATGGATTTATTAATTTGTCATCAGCCTAAAGGTTCTGATTGGAATTTGCCTTAAGCTTTAATGAAGCAGTTAGCGATTTGAGTACCTGGAGTCCTCAGAGTTTATAAAATATCAATAGAGTGCAGGTGTGAAGGAGAAAATTGGTAATCTTTACCTAATATCTACTTACATTGTCAAATATTTGCTCAGTATCTACGGTTAAACCCTCTTTAGGATAGAGAGAATATAAGATATAATCTTTTAAGTCAAATACCTGACAGAGGAGGGAGTATGATTCACAAACTCATAAAGAGTAATAAGACATTTAAAATAATTTAAGAACACAAAGAATAGAGGTCACAAGGGAGTTTCTTAATTTGCTTTATCTATATTTTAAGTCTCAGCTAAGCATATTTATTTGAATAAAAAGAAAACATTTATCAAGGAACTATTTTCTACCAGGTGCTGAACTTGGTACCTTCACATTTATTATCTTATTTAATATAAGAGTCTTATGAGATTATTCAAATATGTGTTGGACCCAATTTTTACAAACATATAAAGACTGTTCCAATTAATTTTTAAATTTGACTCTTACACTGTCATGAATATCAAAAGAATCTGCCAGATTAGACGTACATTTTCCAAGAGCTTTGTACTTTTTTGGAGCAGAGTCTCTTCTTTAAATGTTACAGATTATCTTGGACAAATTTTCACATTGTTTTATTATTATTTTTGTTCAGTAAAAACAATGAAGAATATTTTACTCAAGCTATCTTCTTCTGGCTTCTCATTCAGTTTCAATATTCAAAGTTAATTATGTATATAGTGGATTAAAACACTGGCTTTATGGGATACTCAAGGAACGAAGAGATTTTTTTACATGCTTTTGAGCTTTTAGTCTAGCTGTAAAGACAACTCATGAAGACATAGATAATATAAATGATAATAGGTGATACTACAAAAGATGACACAAAATTGCCTATGGTGGACCTAACTACCAAAATGGTCACATAGATACCATATTCAAATAAATTCATAAGAGAGGAGAGGACTTTGAACTCAGAGTTGAGGAATATGGGTGAACCATGACAAGGCGGGGGGGGGAGGGGAGACATTCCATTGAGAGTAATGAGATATTCAGAAGCCTAAAAGCAAAGAGGATAAAGCATGTTGAAGGTCTTAAAGAAAAGGTTCATAGAAATAGGCTGATGCTGGACTAGGGAGTGTTGTGCTAGCAAGGCTAAGGAGACTGATCTCGTAACAGTGGAAAGTAGCTAAAACAACTGTAGCAGAAAAGTTGGATAGTAAAATTCACAGTATATGAATTTGGTTGTACAGTATAGGGGAGGGGCTAGACATAGCCTGGAGCAGGGAGATGGGTTAGGGGAGCACTTGGATAGTCCAGGTACCATTTGTAAGGGAAGGGCTTGAACAAGGGCAGTAACCCAGGTTGGTCCCAACAAAGAGAAACAGTATATCAGAGATGAGGGGGTAGGAAGATTTATCAATGCTGATCACTGGGTGGGTATGAAGGATCAATAGGAACATTTAAAAGAAAGGGAGGAAGAAAAGCAGGAAGGGAGGGAGGGAGAGAGGAAGGAAGGAGGGCCAAGCCATTTTGGAAGACAGTGAATTTGGTTTTAGTTATATCGAGTTAATGGTGACAAGGACAGAGAAGTGGAATGCCCAACAGGGAGCTGGAGTTGTAGGATTGCAACCAAGACTTAAGATTCTTGAACCACTTAAATGGTTCTCAGCCAGAGATAATTTTATTCCCAGAGATATTTGGCAATGCCTGACATTTTTAGTTGTTACAACCGAGGGGGATGCTATTGGCATTTAGTGAGTTGAGGCCAGAGATGCTGCTAAGCATCCTACAGTGCACAGGACAGCTCCTCACAACAAAAGAATCTTCAAGCCCAAATGCTAATAGTGCTGAAGTTGAGAAACCCTGATGTAGACAAGGAAAATCAATACATTTTTCAGAGAAAATAGCACCAAGGAAGAACATGTAGAATCATCAGCCTAAAGGCCAAGGACTTCTTAGCAAATGCCCACATTTAAGAAGTGTTGGTAGAAAGTGGAATTAGCATGGGATGTAAAGGAACTAAGAGTAGTAATAGATGTAAACATGGAACAATTTATTGACTCCTTTACTGAACAAGTGTTGAACTATTACGTATGAAGTACTAAGTGTGATGGATACAGAAATGCCCTCCTGGAGCTTATATATTCTAGGGGAGGGTGACAGATAATGAACAGATAAAGGAGATAATCAGTAGGTGATGGGAAGTGCTATAACAAAGGCAGCAAAATGGGGATCCCCTGACAGGGACTTGGGGCTGCAATGCAAAGGGTGTGAAAGGACTGCTGTCCATGGGATGGTGAGGCGAGGCTCTCTGAGGAAGTGACCCTTAGGCTAAGAACTAGAAGAAAAGTCGCCAGTCCCAGGAAGAGCTGGGATGATTCTGTCATGGATTCCAAGGGAAGGGAGGAAGCCTTAAAGGGGAATCAGGAGGATCAAAGGCCACTAAGAGGTCCTGCAAGGGTGCCTGTGCATCTGTCAACTAAGAGGACATCTGGATCCTTCAGAGCTGCCATCTTAAAAGATAAAAGCACAAATTACAATTCTGAATTTTCTAATCTTCATTTATGGGAAGGAAAAAAAAAAACAACCCAGATTTGTGATTTGGGGAATTTTAGAATAGTGCTGCAGGAGACCCGGCAGAGTTCTGTTGGAACATGTCAAGCACTTACTCTTCACAACAATTTTCTCCACAAAAATTAGACATCCCCACACAACACAAAACTATGCAGTGATGGAACGCAAATGCTAATATTAATCATACCTTTTCTTTCTTTTCTTCCCCAGGCTTCACAAGGCTTGCTGCTCAGGCATTATCTATTGTAATCAGCAAGTTACCTACGGTGATTGCATGTTTGCCTCCCCCAATTAAATACTTCTTTTTTCTGTCTGAGAGAAAAATGTCAAAAAACTTTGTTGAATTGAAGAAAGCTGGCCTGCTTGTCTGGAACTTGATTGTAATTATATGTCGGATATTTGAGGATGGAAACACTGTGGAACTTTTAACAGGTGCCTCCCTTGACAGATGGGGTAAAGAAAAACTCGGTTTAATGTGTATGTGTTTGGAAGGCGTCATGGGAGACCAGGAGAGGAGCCCTAGTCAAGTGATCCAAAAGGTCTTGCAAAGCATCCAGCAGCAAAAGCCCAACTGGATTGAAGGCCAATTGCAGAAAGCAAGGAAACTGAGCACTGAATGGTAAAGCGATGTTTTACTTTCACTGCACTCCATCAAATACTTTCACAATAACAAAATAATCAATAAACAACAACGAAAATATTGTCAGATGGGCAGCATGAGTATTTTGCTGAATTCGTGGGAACTTTGATGAATATAGAAAAAGATAAGTATCCCATTAAAAATTGGATTGTTAGGCATTCCTTGTCTTAAAATTTGAACCCCATTGATACACTGGAACATTATACTGTACTTGTTTAGTCACCATCTTAAGGTTTCTGATTAAAAGGGTGGTAGTTAAACCCAGGAGAATTTAGTTTCACTCCTTTTCAGTGTGCAAACAGGTATCTAGTGGATAGCCTGGAGCGTTTTGTAAATGGATTGAGCATGGAGATTAAATTAAGAAGGAATTAATGGATATAAAAGGCTTTTTATTGCTTTCTGTGTACCTGATTGTCAAAAAGGTACACATTTTTCATCTGGTAATGTAAGAATCCCAGAGGGCAACGGGGGCATATCACACTTCAGCTATAAACACACCCAGCTGTTTCGGTATGAAAATGTCAGCCTTCTCATAGGTTTGTCACCAAGAGCTAAGTGATTTGTGGTACTGCAAAGATTTTTAAGGGTCCCTGATGAATTGAAATATGTACATAGAGTCTTCCTGTCTTAAAATGAGTCTTCAGGTATAGAATTGCATGATATTGATAAAGGAATTTTGGCTCAGATGGTCTATAGATCACTAAGTCAGCATTTTTTAAAACACCCACGCACCCTGTTCCCCATTCTTTTAACATATATCCTGCTGCTAGTAGATACTATTATAGTACCACTTTCTGCCTGAAATGACTAAAAGTCTCTTGAAACATGGTAACTCTTACTAGTGATAAAGAGGTCAGGCTTTGGAATCAGAAGGACAAGGACAAATTCATTGTAATTGGGTCATCTTGTGAAAATTATTGAATCTTTCAAAGCCTCAGTTGCAGTGATGATATGAAGCTGATAGAATTGTTTTGAAAAATTAAATATTAATAACATTTATAAAGTTCTTAGCATCCAGCTTGGAACTATTAATAGTAAGCATCTGTTATTTATAAACTCTATTCACTGGTTAGTATTATGGTAACTAAGAGTCTTTACTTGTCTATGTTGATCTATAAGATTATATATCTATAAGATTTTATATTAATCCAGATGGGGAAAAGTAAGTAATCATAATTTTCCCCATCTTGTCATACTGACTTCTAGAAATTTACTTCTGGAGTATTCCATGAGTGGGAATAACAATAGCAGTCAGGCAAATGATTACTAACGTTGACAGTAACCTTCTTTATATTTGCATTCAATGCCAATTTATGGGCTTTAATCCAATGACTAAAAAGATTAAGGCCAGATGTTGTCATCCATAGCAGATATTATAAAGGGAAGAGAAAAATAGGAGTAAAAATAAGAGATCTGATTATAGTAACAAAGTTAAATTTATGATACTGTTGATTTAGGAGTCCCTCTATCAAATATGTTCCATTTAAAGCAATGGGTACTATACCTAGGGCTACATACAGGGATCCATAAGTTAAGTTCTTTTTCTTGAAAGCTGATTTTAATTTAAGTTTTATAAACAGTATCAATGCATTTGGTATCTCCCGTAGTGGGAGTTGTCCAGCTAATATCTGGCTGGTCACCAATGAGCCAAAAGATTACTTAGCTATCTCTTCAACATGCATCAAAAATGAAGAGTTGCTGATTTCAAAAATGTGTTATAGCCCTTGAAGATTCTGAATAATTATGTAATTAGCACAAGGCTATGCCTTTCTCAATTGTTTCAAATGATATCCACATACAGAAATGCAAATTTAAAGTTATTTATTTGAAAAGGAGTTAAATATGACTTAACTCACTTTAGGTAACAATCTCTTACAGAGTTTGGGTGCCATAGGAATGTTTCTTTTAGACTTTGATTTCAAATTGATTATCTGATATAGAAGTGAACCTCCACCTCTAAGTATTTCTTACAAATCAATGATCATTTAGCTCATAGATCTACACTATAAGGAAAAATGTATTTCAAACCATGATGTCTATATTAGGTAGAGGGTTACCTTGGCTCTACCATATTTTTTAAACAGTGTATAAATATATTTATAGTTATTCAAGCATTTAAACTAAAATATTAATAGCTCTTCTGATAAGACAAATTAAATCTTAATTCTTCACAAAGATTACCTGGGATCTACATGATATCATTTAGGTAGATTTCTTCCACTTGTATCCAGACTTTGATTTTTATGGAAATGGTGAAAATAACTGCAGTGGAAAAGGTGGCAGCTGTAAGTGTTGCCTGTCTTGCATACTGCCTGAAAGCATTACTATTCATTAAAATAACCTTCACTTTGTAGTAACACTCAAGCTGTAAACAGTCAACTTAGATTCTGGAGAACACACAGCCCAAAAAGTAAAGAAATGTCTGTCTTTGCAAAGTAATTTGTCGAGTTGAAGATTATTGTTTTTCATCATGGTGACCCTGACTTGGCTGGCTGGGTGCATATACAGATTAAGATTAATGCAGTTATTCCTTGGCTAAGGTCTGCCTCTTTCAGGGCACATTCTCCCTAATGACATGATTGATAGGCAGTCCCAAATCCAGAGAGGAACTCATTAATCATAGCATTGACTGAATCCAATCATTTGCTTCACCTGCACAGTGATGGACAGGAAAGGATACAATTCAGGGGCTGACACCGAGATACTCCTTTGTCAAAGGGCCTCAACTTTTTCAATGTCAGCCTCTACAAAACCTGACAGGAAATTTTGCTTGCAACCTGTATGCGGCTTCAAAAGATATTTGCAAACTTATTTTATTGTAACAAGGTCTTAAAAAAACACTGACTCTAGTTAATGAGTATCTCTTAAGTCAGAGTAGGAATTGCTTTATTTTTTAGCAAGGCTTATAAGATCTTAAAGTTCCTTTTTTTTTTTTGAGACGGATGTTTTGAAGCTACATGTGGAAGCAATAGCAAAGTTAATGTCCAGCAGCTGGGTATCATTTGGTTCAGTCTTCAGGTCAGCGGCACTGACTCTTAGCAGAACTAATTTTATAATCATGGCAAAATCTCAGTAATGAACTGTAGTATACAGCTGATTACACCACAGTAAATTGCATTTAGTCTGGGAAACAGTGGAAAACCATGAGTTTTCTTAAGAATGCTTACATTGCAAAGCCCAACATGATCCTAATAGCAATTGTAACAAGAAAATTAGTGTGGAGCATATATGATGTAAGTTGAATATCATAATTATTTTTTGCATTGGTATAGTATGAGATGTTTAAAATGGTTTTTATGTCATCAATTATTGCCATGTAAATAATGTTCAAAATCAACAAGTACATGGATTCTTTTAAAAGAAGTGTTTCAGAACTGCATCTTGCACATTCCTGGTGTGATGATAGTAGACCCTTTTTCTTGAAGAATAATCAGAGTAGTGACTTTTTTTGCTAAGTATAATATCTGTTACAGAAAGAAACAGGAGTAGGGGGTATGCATTTTTAAAAAGCAACAAGTGTCAGAGGCCAATTTAAAATGCTCAGTGGTAAGCACACCTGCCACGAAGCTCTCAGCTTATATTTAGCATAATAGACTCCCCCTTTTGACACCTTAATTAGTCTTTAATGTGTTCTTCGACAGGTGTAAAGAGGAATCTACAAAAGACAAAATACCAAAGCTATTTCTGGCTTCAAAGATACTTTTTTATCCTCAAAGAGAAAATACAAATTATTTCTTCCATGTTCTTAAAAAGAAATGTTTTTTGTTTTCATCCCAAGATTATAGCAATTCAGCAATTGCAGTAATGGGAAAATGTTATATAGAGAGGAGTATAAAGGCAATAAAGAAATGTTTTAAAAGAAATGATTCAATTTTTAAAATGCTTTCAGGTGCTTAATTCTAAGGCGCTGTGTGTCTGATCAGCAGAGGTTTGGGGGGGCTTACACCTATGTGAGTGAAGTCTCTACAGGTGCTTTGAATATGAGATTTACATAGACTCTTCACTCTCAATCTCGGTGATTATTTTCCGTCTTTACAATGCTTTATCACTGATATGTATATGCTTTCTTTGTATTTAGTGCATTTATGACAATAAAGAAAAGCACAGCCTTAGAAGAAGGAGATATTGCTCTTGAACTGACTGAGCAGAAAATAAACACGATGGTCCTGGATCTCTGCCACAAACCAGGTGGCAGCGAGTACCTGAGGCAAATTTATCACATCATGCGACTCAATGAGGTAGGGAAACAGCCTTTTTACCGAGCAATTAGGTGTGTACTGGCCTGAGGCAGCGTCTGCTGGCAGCTAAGGGTTAGTCAAGGAGGTGATAATACTTCTTAAAGTCAATACCAAACTCAATATCGCGTTATTAATAGAATCTATTCAGCCCCGGCTGTTCTGCATTTGTACAGAAAAAGCTTCATCGAAACAATGTAGATTTTATTTATGTGGTTTAAACAATAACACGGCTCATAAACTCAGTTCTGTTCTGAATTGTAGCGACTAGAGGTGTAGTTTGGGAATTGTGTGTTTGTGACCGTTAAGCTGATGTTAAAATCTGGTATTTGTAAAATGAAGAATTTTCCGAAGAAAGACTTAGTGGCTCTTGTCCTGAAGGCATCATACTTGTGTTGGGGAAGTTGGATATTTCTTACATAATGAAAAAACTTCTGAAGAATATTGAACTATATTGGGCAGCAACCAGATTAACCCAAGAAAATTCATTAATGCATGGACACTGTTTAGAACCAATGTTATGCTCATCGATCTCTTTGCTCAGTTAAGCCTCTGACCTTGCACGTTTTTTGGCTGTTTTAGCGAAAATGTAAATAGCAGGTTATCTCAGCCATTAATATTTACTTGAAACAATACAAATTTTCTAACTTAATCAGGTTTTTGAGTATGTGTATCTGAATTATAGTGTGGCATCTGTAATTATATTTGCAAACATATGAATGTATTCTTTGGAATAGTGAAAACTGTATAATGTGAATATGTAGTTTTATGTCAACAATATAATTCTTAAAAACTATACATTTCCAAGAAGTGAATTAAATTCTATGACAGCATTTTACGTCTCAGTTGTATAAGTGTTCTGCCCACCATTATCTACCTAAAGGGTGCTTCAAGTTAATCTTATTTCCTGGGTTTCATACTGCTAATCAACCAGTCAATAAACTGGTGACATAACAAAGTATTCAGTGATAACCTGAGAGGGATATGAGAAATTCATAGCTATGAGAAATGACCGTGTCTGTTATTGTTACAAAGTGACAACATATTCACACTTGTTAATGATCCCTTATAGCTTGCTTAGGGTTTCTATTTGGGGAACTCTGGAACGCCTCACCTTGGCTAACTGAAAGACCCCTATTGGGAAGTCATGTTCCTCATTGGTATGTTCACCTGGCCACCCAGATTGGCCGGAGTAATTGTAGTGACACCTGAGGAAGAGATGTTGCAGTATGGTCACCCTCATATCCTTAGTAAAGTGGTGTTACAATAGCTCTGAGGATGGTAATGGCTAGTTTAGATTGCCAAACTGATAGAATAGTCCTATTTTTAAAAGGCCCACCATAATACTAGAAAAGGTCAATAACTCCCAATAAGCAAAACCATCAAAAATTAAGTTGAGTAATTATTGGCATTTTTTCCCAATAGAGTATTCCTTTTTAAAATTTTACTCGCATAAATTATGATGGAGAAAAAGTTTGTTTCTATTCAATGATCTAAGTCTAGTCATAAAATTCTTTTCTGGTGTCTTTATCATTATTTAACAATATTTAGTAAGAGTCCGTGTGTGTCACTTTCAGACTCTATAGAATTAATCTTTCTAAAGAGGTATGCTCTACAACAAGCAAGTTTAAGAAATGACTATCATTGTTAAGTGTGGTTTCTTTATATTTTTAGGGTTTTAGGACCTAAAATTTGTCTTTCGCAATCACAGTGGACATTCATAAAGTTACAGGGGCATAGGAAAAATCACAGTGAACTGAGACCAGATATGCGGCTTCTTGCCCCACCTCTACCACTCACTGCTGTGTGACCTCAGGCTTGTCCCCTGATCTTTTAGAGCCAACCACTGAGGGTGGTGTTGGGCTAGAGTTCACAAACTTTCCCGTGCCTTCCATTTTCCTAGTTCTGGTTAACAGGCTCACTCTGATTCTTCGAGGCTTGAGAATCTGCTTTTCTAACAAGCTGCCAAGTGAGCCTAATTCTGCAGGTCTGTTCAGCCGACTTTGAATAGTACAGGTTTTCTAGATGACCTCTGAATTCCTTTTCAGCTCTAACATTCTGAACTTCATCCTAACCCTAACCTCAGAGAAAAACATTATATTGTAACACACTAAAAATCAAGAGAACATTTATATTTTTATTTTATATTTTACTTATTAAGTGACTTATTTATTAATAGTAAGCGTTTGTTAGTTGATGGGAGACTTTTAGTCATTTTAATTTGTTGTCTTCCAGAAAAAGTCTCATAGGATATTTTAGGACTGTTCACCTTATCTATTTATGGGTGGGAAATAAAGTAAATAGATTGACAAATATAGGTGTAAAGCAATAGACTGACTTTTTTGCCCAGGCCTGCACTGGTAGTTGGGGGATTAGAATGACAAATTTTGAGCTTCTGTTGAATCTTGATATTCAGTTCATAGGATGAAAATAGAAAATAGGAGCTTGCATTATAATTAATTCTTCATAGAATAAGACTGCTTGTAGTAAAATATCAGAGTGCTCAGCACTCTGCTGAGCCTAGAGTAGGTAGCAACTACACTTAATAAATGAGCAATCTGTACTGTTGCATAATCATGCATCTGAGTTAAGTTGTGGTAACCAGAATGTTAATACATGAATCAATGACTAGACAATGCCTGTTAAAAAGATCCTGATGTATCAATCATACATTCATTATATGAGAGTTTGTTAAATGGTTTTCTAACCTATAACAGTATAGTAGGTAAACCTGTTTTTGATGGGTTTATTGCATTGCTGACTGGTACTCTGCTATATATCCTCTGAAAATGTATTTTTCCTAAGGCAAGTAATAAACTGTAATCTAGCAAATGTGCTGAAAGGGTAAATTTGGATATTGATCGGTTTATTTTTAAAGAGAATGTATGCTTCTCACCATCATGACTTGTAATTTTCTTTCCTTGAAGGAATATTTAAAAGAACAGCTGCTTTGTATGAATGGTTCAGAGGAAAAGCCATTACCCATCCGACCTTTAAAGATGACCTTGAGAAGTGTGGAAGATCAGCCTTCTGCCTTTAACCCTTTCCATGTGTATAAGGTGTTTAGTGAAAACATGCTAGATCAGGTATGTGGAAATTAAATGGTAAATTTGATTTAAATGTGTCATTTCTTTACACAAGTGAGAGAAAATGCTTTGTGTTTGAATATTTACTCAAAAGCTTTTTTTTTTTTTTGCTAAGAAGCGAAAGGCCTTGTGCTTATTTACCTGGTCTGTACAAATTGACTTTTAAAAGTTATTTTATCTTCTCTCTATTTGTCAAACTGATTCATATGTTTGGTCTGTAAAACTTAACTTGACCAGGTCAGTTTACCACGGGCAGAGGGAACATCTGTTAGGCTGTGTCTACAGAAGGCACAAGAACCAGGCATTTTTGTAACATTTTTCCCCTCCCTTGCCACCCTCTCTCCCCAATACACACACTCAGAAAACTCCTTGCAATCTTTACGTATGTATCAGGCAAATTGGACAATAGTGTGAAATTAATTATAAATGAAGCATTGAGCTCCTATTTTAAGTGGCATGAGGTGAAGTTGCCTTTTATAACCCTAGACACATTCCCAAATTTGAAATGAATTTGTTAATGATCTTAAAGCCAGGCTATTTGGAATAAAGTCAACGTGATAAACACCACATATTTTTTTAATGTCAGATTGTGCCGTTGCTTAAGCTGCGTTTTCAGGAGTTACATTAAAAAGATCGTCTTTCTGCCAAAGTAGTTGAAATCTCAAGTTGCTTTTGCTTTGTTCATTCTTCTGGTGTCTTTTCCCAGAAACCTCTTGACAGACGATTTGAACTAACAGGGCAGAAGAGAAGGATTGCTTGACCTAGAGCTCTGATGAAAATAAGAATTAAAACAATGGCCTAATTCAGCATGCAGATAATATTTTTACCATGCCTGTTACAGCTCTAGTCTACATTCATCAATACTGTAGTAGAGTAAGACCTTCAAATGCTGACAACCCAGGGCAGAATTCTCTTGCTCTACGACAGGATGGTAGTGCTCGATTAATCAGCAGGTGACAGGGGGATAGCTCTCCTTAGACTTTAAACATCAACGTGGATTCTTATTATCAAAACTATTTTATTTTAAGCAACATAAGCGTCTATAATACTTTAAAACCAAATATATTATATAAGTTTGAGTTTATTGGCTGCTTTCCTGTGTTGTTGTACATTTAGATTGCTCCAAACCATAAATAATTATAGTGGCTGTTAAATTTTCCTTACTTCATTTAAATAAAATGGCATGTTTTATTGAGTTTCTGAGTTATGAGATTATTTTTCACAGTAATTTTTCTCCTTACTCTGTTGCGAAATTATCTATTAAGGGGGAAAAAAAAGAATCATTTATATTATTTACACTTACAGGTCCTTATAATCTTCCCTTTAAAGCATTTTCTTAACCAAAAAGAGTAACATTAATAACACACTATAAATAAGCTATGTCTTATAATTTGAGTCTAACTTTGTTTTTTTAATTAAACTTTTGGGTGCTAAAAACCCCCAACTATAAATTGATCTCATACATGAAAAAGTTGCCAATTATTTTGCTTTGCTTTTCAAAGAGTCGGCCTTTCAGAGAAACTTGTTGGGCAAATGCCATTAACACTTGGAAGAATAACGACTCAAGAAATTGATTTATATTTTTATAAATAATGACTACATCCTCAAATGGATCTATAAATTAATTGCTGTCTTATTGGAATAAAAACCTTCTTCTGTGGACATGATTGATGTTATCTGTCTAAGTCCTTGTTCTGGACCCCCCTCCTTCTCGGTTAGTCTATCACAGCTGGAGCTTTAATTTACTGATCATATTAACTCTGATTAATAACTAACAATAGTGTCTTCTCATTTATCAACAGTCAGCCATCACAAAATGGAACTGGAATTGGGCAAATTTGCTGCCAAATTATCTGGGACTAGATAAGATGACCTTCAGTGTACTGCTCAAAAACAGGTAATAAAATTGGGGATCTGGTTGGGGAAAAGGTTGTAGGGATGGGGATTGGAGGAGTGTATACATACACATGCACACACACACATACAAACAAACACATTTTACCATTGTACTTTTGGGGAAAGTAAAACATTTTATCAGCAAGGGAATCTTTTATTTTCTCCCTCTTTAGTCTCTCATCTTTAAAAAAATATGGCTGAAATGATATGAATACACTTTCTAAACACTGCATTCTATTGTGAACATTTGCAAAAGGCAGTCAAATTTGTTTCTGAGATGAAATTAGTTGATTGTAGTCTGAATTTTAAATATTTTTGACTTTGTGTATTTAATAATTCACTACTGTAAACACCAAAAGTTATTGACTTGAATGTCATTATAATACTATACCTTTGTTTACAGCAATTTAATGAATGCATATAAAATGCCAACGCAAATCAACTAGTCTAATCAGGGAAACATATAAATAAAACTGGCATGATTAAATTTTTCACTGTTTGGCCAGTTATTTTGGCACTGTCTTTCTACAGTCTCGGTTGCATATCATTTTACACACACACCAGCACAACTCAATAATATGATTTCAGCCTAGGAATCTACACATGTAATTTATTTCGCACAAAAATATAAATATTGTCTTTCTATTTAGGATCAATTAACATTTTTTATACCTTTGAAGTTTCAGAAAGAACTATAAGGTATAACTTTAAAATTAGATTTTTCTATCAAATACCACATTTTCAGATAAGGATATGTTTGTATGAGACTCCTTTTATTGTTTAAGTGTCATCTGTGTGCTAATAGCTAAGTATGGGAATGATTTTATATATAATCTTTGTGATATAGAATGTATTTCCATATCTTTATGCAAAAATACTGAGTATCATTTTTCCTGAAAGAAAATAATGACATTGACATAGTGGAATTGTCAAATTATTCTCAAGAAATCTGGATATATATAAGAAAATATCTTAAGAGAGAGATTGCACTATTTCCTAGAAGAAGGGTTTTTTTTGTTTGTTTGTTTTTTTTTTAAGGCAGCTTTATTGTGAATAAAAGCCATAGCTTAGACGTGTGGTCACAGTGGTTTTTCTACTATTTCACCCTTGAATTAAACTCACCCACCCATCAAAGTTGAACAACCCAGAAGCTTTTCAATCAAGGACAGAGCCTTCTCCCAGCAAGCTTACTACTTGGCAGGCAGTAGTCCAGAATGCACCCTATTCATGCACATGCCCCCAAAGGTGCTCCTATACTGCACTGAAGGTGTTTGGAGGGGTGACAGGCAGGATTAGTGGAGAAGAGGCCAGGTCCTCTGTTGAACCGTCAGTTATATTACGTTTACACAATATTAAATGTCTGTCTGGAAACAAACTAGAAAAGGTAAGTAATTTTTTTTCTTATTTTGAAACTTTTGAGTTTATATAAATTAACTGTATTATATATTGCTAATTTTTTTCAACTGCGAATTGCTGCTTCCAATCCACTAAATAGGTACTCTAGGGAAAACACATCCTTCAAAACTTACTGCATTTGCTTTGTATAATATGCACTTCTAGGTGAATTTGTGTTTTAGCCAGAACAGCATATTGTATTTTTGTTTAACAGCTTTAGATATACTCAGGTCACTATTTAAGTGCATTTATCTGAGATACCTGCGGGAGAAAGGTGGGAGAAAAGAACTCCCACAAATTTAGCCAGATGTAACAGGTCAAACAGTTCTCTTGGAAATGGGTCATGAATGTGTAAAAGAAACAGCTAAAGTCTCATCTTAATAAGAACCTTAGGTTTTTAAAGAATGGTATGAAAAGCATTCTACTGCAAACTACCACACACCACAAGCTACAATGAACCCAATTGAGCTATGTTAGAAGGATAAAAGACACCTGAGAGTTTTTAATCTCTTGTATCACTTTCCCATGTATTTTAAGAATGTTATTTGTGAGTTTTGATTAATATTGAACAAATAAGAAAATTGTTTCTGTTATTCATATTTTCTCTAAGACTCTGTTTTGTTTGGACTTATCTGAAAATGCTGATTTTTTTAAAAAAGCATAGGACATTGAATTTTTGACAACATGGTTATCTGAAAGATACAGATTTGAAAAAGAGAACACAGAACATTGAGCTTTTAGAATGAGAGTTATATATGCCATCTAACATCTAAAACCTATGATATTTGGGGTTAGATAAAGCCATAGGAAAGAATTCAGAGCAGCTTGGTGTTTTTCTCCCAAATTCACCAGTTAGGTAAGTCACCTGTTCTCTTTGTTCTCCCTTTATTGGTAATACATTTGTACTAGTCTATCTCTACACTATGGTCTGGTATATCTATGAGGCTGCAAAAGTTGTTTGAGGACATAATGTTACAAAGAAAAGTGAACCAAAACACACAAGTATGAACAAACCCAAGAGAAGGGAAGGGAATGCTTTCTATCCACCTCTTAAATTCCTTTGTGTCTGGTCTTCAATGTAATAAGCAGAACGTCTGTGGACTTATTCTTCCAAGATGGCTAGAGTGCACCAGATCTCTCTCACCCCCAAACAAGATGGAGATGGGGAAGCAGGATTCCTGGGTTCTCAGGAGTTTGCCTTTGACTATAGATTTCCTTTAAAATGGAATAATGAAAAGTATATAGCTACTTCATGGAGATGATTGACACAATCAAGAGTGCTAAAGTATATGGAAGTGTTTTCGAGAGTTGAACATGCAATACGGTCATCCCTTGGTATATGTGGGTGTCCCATCTGTGCATGTTTAAGTCCCTCATATAAAATAGTATAGTATTTGCATATAACCTGTGCATATCCTCCTGTATAGTTTAAATCCCCTCTAGATTATTTACAATACGTAATACAATTCCTACACATCACTTCATTTGCATGGATTCAGCATAGTATTTGGTACATGGCAATTCAAGTTGTGCTTTTTGGACCTTTGTGGAATTATTTTTTTTTCCGAGTATTTTCCATCCACGGTTGGTTGAATCCACTGATATGGGACCCGGGGATTTGGAGGGCCAGCTATACATATTCAGAAAAGTAGTTACATAGCAGCAGACTGAGCTGACCAGTCTGGTCAGGTAAGGAAACAGTAAAATTCATTAAGGATTAGTGGAAAGTTGGTGATGTGAGACTAAGCAATCAGACCACCAACGTTATATAGACACCAGTCCTAAACCAATAGTGAAGGCCAGAACAAATACCAGAGCAGAGACCAGGCAGCCGGCTGGAGGTCTGGAAGACAAACAGTGAGAAAATGAGCAAGGGGGACGGGTCAAAAAGGGCAAGTGAACTACTCAGGAGATAAAGTCTCAAGAGATGTAGGCTTGAGGGACAGTTCAGTCACACGAAAGAGGAAATCTGTGGTGCCAAGGATGTCTGTATCTGAGGCAATACCGGCCTTTGTTACACAAACTGGCTCTGTGTTGTGAAACTCCAAAGTCAGGACAAATCTTGAAGTAGTTACCCAAGTCCTTAGCAGAGATGTGCCCTCTGCTCACTACATGGCCTCATCTCAGAGCACCTCCATACATTTCAGGATGCTCTAAGTAGATTGCCTTCCTCACGTTCTTTGGATTCTCTAACCTCTTTCCCAGTTTAGGGTCTTAGTACTTGCAGTTCCCTCAAGCTGGTGCCATTTTGTCCATTTGGGGCAAATGTTACCTCCTGAGAGAAGTCTCCTTATCACCCACCTAGCATAGTCCTCCAGGTCACTCTAGCATTCTACCTACTCTACTGTGTCTACATAAAGGAGTTATCACTATCTGAAATCTTGCTTTCTGTTTGTTGTCTGTTAATCTTACTCTCTACAGTAAGTAGAGTGTAAATTCCATGAGAATAGCACCTTATTTACCTATTCCAACTGTGTTTTCGGTATCTAGAGCAACTCTTGGGCACATAGTAGGCTATAAGTAATATTTGTTGAATTGCTTAATGAGCAAATGAGGAATAAGAATGCAGAGAAAAAGTCAACTCCTGACAGATAACCATAGAGTAGGTATTCTCTAAATGTCATGTTTGATTAATAGTCATGTAGGTACAAGAAGTACAATCTGGAAAATCTCAAGTAAAAATTATCTACCTGTATATTCATTCTCTTCATTTTCCAAATTTGGATGAAAATGAAGTTATTGAAGCTCTACATGTTTAAAACACCTGCTATTATTATTATTGTTATGTGAAATTTGGGTCAGATTAAAAGAACAGAAAACTGGTCTTTATTTTTAATTAATTGATCCAAATCAAGTCATAACGTCTTCTGCAACAAAGTCTGTTCTTTATTTCGTGACTCATAAATCTTTTGACATTTGGGTGATATGGTTTACATTTGTTAAATGACACTAAACATGCAAGATGAAAACTTTAAGGTGGAGTTAGCTGACAAAAGTATCCAACCAAGCCTTTGTAAATTAATTGTGAGTGATTTTTGAGCCATTTGAAGAAATACATAGTAGCTGACATATCAGAGAAGAGATCCTGAACACATATTAATGATATATGTGTTTCGACTTAGAAAGTTTGCCACTGTGGAAAATAAAGGCTCTCCAGCGGTTCAGAAAATCAACATATATATCAGCTCTACACCTTTACCTTTAATGCTATATAAGAATAAGTACAGTGATTTTACATTGATCTTTTGAAATAATAAGGGTACTTTTCACAGTTTCTTACTATTAGTTTCTTGCTTTTGTTCTCAGCCACTTTAAAATAAATCCAGACTAGCGAATGAGGCGGTGATTGCATTTGCTGGAGAGCGCACCAAAAGGAACACTCTATTCCTTCATTCCTGGCGAATCTCCAGATTGCCATTTTGATATTGTTTTCTTTGTCACTGGCACAAATTTATGTTGCTTCTTTTCTCTTTACCTTATTTATTCCAAACTAATTCCCAAGAATTGTGGTGTTGAAAATAATCTGTGAATACAGTTGAGCGCTATGCGGTTTTAACCATCTAAATATACTGCATATGAGTTTGGCTTCGAGTTGAGCAAACACAA